CACATTCACATACACCATGTTTCATTTCAAAGGAAGCGTCTAGGCAGTGGCTGCTCGGGTAACTGTAGAATTCCGAGCAGTTGCTTGCAGTGTGGGGACTATTCTGGGGCTTTGGAGCAGGGAGGGTGTCTAGTGAAAGCACCATTCTAGAAGTCATCTGAGAAGAGGCGTCCATGCATTCGGCATGAGGTTGAGCTCCGAGGCCTCATCACTGAGCTGCCATGGCCTATCCCACCCCGTCTCTAACACCCCTCTGAGCCGGGGTGGGCATCTCTCAGAGATGGGATCTGATGCTCAGGGTCACGCAGCGAGACCAAAGCCAACTTGGAAGCCAGTTCCAGTGACTCAGTGACACCCAGTCTACACAGCTGGCTGGGGGAGGAGACAAGAGCCAGGGAAGCTGTTAAGAGCACCTCGGGGCCTGCATGGGCTCCAGGGCCCTGACAGACATAAGCAGTGAAGGGACTGGAGCCCATGCAGGAGGGCCTGAAGCAGCCTGGGCCGTGCCCACTCTGCCACCTCAGAGGTGGGATCCTGGCCTCGGTTTCCTTGTCAGTAAGACGGGAGCAACAGTGCCCGCTGTGCAGGGCAGCTATGGGAATGGATGCTTAGCAAAATGTTGCCACCCATAGTATGGGGCCTGATAGTCTGTCCCAAACTGGCAGCTAATGTTAGTACCAGCAGCAGGGGGTGGCAGAGAAAATAGAAATTTGAGGAAAAAAGGAAGAAAAAAATAACTTGGCTGTTGTGTTGTGAACTTGGTTGTTTAAAAAATTAATTTTGGCCAGGCGTGGTGGCTCACGCCTGTAATCCTAGCACTTTGGGAGGCCGAGGTGGGTGGATCACTTGAGGTCAGGAGTTCGAAACCAGCCAGGCCAACATGGTAAGTGAAACCCCATCTCTACTCAAAATACAAAAATTAGCTGGGTGTGGTGGTACGTGCCTGTTGTCCTAACTACTCGGGAAGCTGAGGCAGGAGAATCAATTGAACCCAGGAGGTGGAGGTTGCAGTAAGCCAAGATCGCACCACTGTACTCCAGCCTGGGAGACAGAGTGAGACTCGGTCTCAAAAAAAAAAAAAAAAATCAATTAATTTAATAGACGGGGCGCGATGGCTCACACCTATAATCTCAACACTTTCAGAGGCCGAGGTGGGCAGATCACCTGAGGTTGGGTGTTCAAGACCAGCCTAGACAACATGGTGAAACTCCACCTCTACTAAAAATACAAAAATTAGCTAGGCCTGGTGCTGGGCACTTGTGGTCCCAGCTACTCGGGAGGCTGAGGCACGAGAATCACTTGAACCCAGGAGGCAGAGGTTGCGGTGAGCTGGGATTGCGCCACTGTACTCCACCCTGGTGAGATTGCGCCACTGCACTCCAGCCTGGGCAACAGAGGGAGACTCTGTCTCAAAAATAATAATAAATTACACACCTATTAGGATGGCTACCACTTAAAAAAAAAAAAAGTAACAAGTGTTGTGAAGGATGTAGAGAAATGGTAACCCTGTGCACTGTTAATAGGGGTGTAAAATGGTGTAACCACTATGGAAAACAGGATGGAGGCTCCTCAAAAAATTAAACAGACCTCCCCTATGATCCAGCATTCCTGCTTCTGGGTATACATACAGAAGAATTGAAAGCAGAATCTCAAAGAGATATTTGTACCCCATGTTCAAAGCACTGCCGTTTGTCGTAGGCAAGAGGGGAGAGCAACCCAGATGTCCACTGACAGCTGAATGAAAACAAAATGTGTCCGTGCATACAGTGGAATATTATTTAGCCTTAAAAAAGAAGGAAGTCCTGTCACCTGCTGTAACATGGATGAACCTGGAGGACATTAGGCTAAGTGAAATAAACCATCACAAAAAGATAAATACTACTCATGCCTGTAATCCCAGCACTTTGGGAGGCTGAGGGGCGGATCATGAGGTCAGGAGATCAAGACCATCCTGGCTAACATAGTGAAACCCCGTCTGTACTAAAAATACAAAAAATTAGCCAGGCATGGTGGCACGTGCCTGTAGTCCCAGCTACTCAGGAGGCTGAGGCAGGAGACTTGCTTGAACGCGGGAGGTGGATGTTGCAGTGAGCCAAAATCACGTCGCTGCACTCCAGCCTGGGCGACCGAGCAAGACTCCGTCTCAAAAAAAAGATAAATATGATTCCACTTCTGTGAGCTGTCTACAGCAGTCAAATTCCTGGAACTAGAAAGTAGAATGGTGGTTGCCATTAGCTGCAGGGAGGGGCAGTGGGAATTTGTTTGAAGAGTACAGAGTTTCACATGTGCAAGATGAACAAGCTCTGGAGATCTGTTTCACAACAATGTAAATATACTTAACACTGCTGAACTATAAATAAGATTGATTACAATGGTAAATATTATGTTATGCTTTTTACCAAAATTTAAAAAAAAATCATTTTGACCATGAATAGATGATATAGATGAACCTCAAATACACCAAGATGAGCTATGCTCAAGACAAAAGTCACCATGTACGGGAATACCTGGGAGACACTGTGGGTTCCGTTCCAGACCACTGCAATAAAACAAGTTTCACAATACCCATGAAGTTTTTGGTGTCCCAGCACATAGAAAAGTTATGTTTCTGTAATGATGTACCATAGTCTATTAAATGTGTCTAAAAAACAATGTATATACCTTAATTTGAAAATACTTTATTGCTAAAAAATAATGCTAGCAACCCTGTGAACATTCAGCAAATCATAATTTTGCTGATGGAGGGTCTGGGCCTTGATGTTGATGTCTGCTGACTCATCAGGGTGGTGGTGATTAAAGGTTGGGGTGGCTGTGGCCATTTCTTAAATTAAGACAGCCATGAAATTTGCTGCATCAATTAACTCTTCCTTTCACAAAAGATTTCTTTGTAGCATGCAATGCAATTTGATAACATTTTACCCACTGTAGAATTTCTTTCAAAATTGGAGTCAGTCCCCTCACACCCAGCCTCTGCTCTGACAACTGGGTTTGTGGAATATTCTAAATCTTTTGTTGTCATCTCAACAATGTTCACAACATCTTCACCAGGAGTAGATTCCATCTCAAAAAGCTTTCTTTGTTCATCCATACCAAGCACCTCCTCATCTGTTCAAGTTTTGTCTTGAGATTGCAGCAGTTCAGTCACATCGCCAGACTCCACTTCTAGTTCTCTTGCTATTTCCACCACATCTACAGTGGCTTCCTTCATTAAAGTTTTGAATCTCTCAAAGTCATATGTGAGAGTCGGAATCAACTTCTTCCAAACTCCTGTTAATGTTGGTATTTTCACTTCCTCCCATGAATCACAAATGTTCTAATGGCATCTAGAATGGGGAATCCTTTCCAGAAGGTTTCAATGGACTCCCTAGACCCATCAGAGGAATCACTATCTATGGCAGCTCTAGCCCTACAAAGTGTATATCTTAAGTAAAATAAGACTTGAAAGTCAAATTGCTCCTTGATCCATGGGCTGCAGAACAGATGCTGTATTTGCAGACAGGAGAACAACATTCATCTCCTTGCATATCTCCATCAGAGCTCTCCGGTGACCAAGTGCATTGTCAATGAGCAGTAATATTTTGAAATATTAATTTTTTTTCTGAGCAGTAGGTCTCAACAGTGGGCTTAAAATATTCAGTAAACCATGCTGTAAACAGATGTGCTTTGTTGTTCCATTTCTAGAACACAGGCAGAGTAGATTTAGCATCATTCCTAAGAGCAATAGGATTTTTGGAATGGTAAGTGAACATTGGCTTCAACTAAAGTTACCAGCTGCATTAGCCTCTGAGAAGAGAGTCAGCCTGTCCTTTGAAGGCAGGCATTGCCTTCTCTCTGGCTATGGAAGTCCTAGCTGGCATCTTCTTCCAATAGAAGACTGTTTCTTCTACATTGAAAATTTATTGTTACTGTAACCACCTTCATCAATGATCTTAGCTGGATCTTCTGGAGAACTCGCTGCAGCTTCTCCATCAGCACTTGCGGCTTCACCTTGCACTTTTATGCTATAAAGATGGCTTCTTAAACCTCCTGAAGCAACCTCTGCTAGCTTCCAGCTTTTCTTTAGCTTCCTGACTTCTCTCAGCCTTCACAGAATTGAAGAGAACTAGGGCCTTGCTCTGGATTAGGCTTTGACTTAAGGTAAGGTTGTGGCTGGTTAGATCTTCCATCCAGACCACTTAGACTGTCTCCATGTCAGCACTAGGGCTGTTTTGCTTTCTTATTATTCACATGTTCATTGGAGTAGCACTTTAAATTTCCTTCAAGAAGCTTTCCCTTTGCATTCACAACTTGGCTAACTGGCCCAAGAGGCCTAGCTTTTGGCCTATCTCTGATTTTGATATGCCTTCCTCACTAAGCTTAATCATTTCTAGTTTTTGATTTAAACTGAGAGACATGCAACTCTTCCTTTCAGTTGAACACTTAGAGGCCACTGTAGGGTAATTTATTGGCTTAATTTCAGTATAGCAATATCTCAGGAAATAGGCAGGAGGAGAGGGAGAGAGACAGGGGAGTGAGCGGTCAGTGGAGCAGGGAGAACACACATAGCATTATCAGTGAAGCTTACCGTCTCATATGGGAACAGTTCATGGCACCCCAAAACAATTATAATAGTAACATAAAAGATCACTGATCACAGATCACCATAACAGACATGATAATAATGAAAAAGTCAGGAATACTATGAGAATTACCAGAATGTGACACAGAGACATGACGTGAGCACATACCGCTGGAAAATCACGTCAGTGGACTTGCTCGATGCAGGGGTACCACAAACCTCAAATTCGTTAAAAAAACGTCGTATCTAAAGGCCAGGTGCAGTGGCTCATGCCTGTAATCCCAACACTTTGGGAGGCCAAAGTGGGCAGATCACAAGGTCAGGGGTTCGAGACCAGCCTGGCCAACATGGTGAAACCCCATCTCTACTAAAAATACAAAAATTAGTCGGGTGTGGTGGCCCACAGCTGTAGTCTCAATTACTCGGGAGGCTGAGGCAGGAGAATCGCTTGAACCTGGGAGGCGGAGGTTGCAGTGAGCCAAGATCACACCACTGCACTCCAGTCTGGGCAACAGAGTAAGACTCTGTCTCAGGAAAAAAAAAAAAAAAAAAGAAAAAACATCATATCTGTGGAGTGTGATAAAGTGAATAAAATGAAGCACAATAAAACAAAGTCACCTGTATCATGTACAGTGCCGCTTGCATATATCGTTAATCTTTTCTCTTTTTATTTTTCCCAGTAATGCCATCGGTCCCCTGGTAGCTTTGTGGCTGATTTACAAACAAGGCGGGGTAATGCAAGAAGCAGCTACACCCGTCTGGCTGCTGTTTTATGGAGGAGTTGGAATCTGCACTGGCCTCTGGGTCTGGGGGAGAAGAGTGATCCAGACCATGGGGAAAGACCTCACTCCCATCACGCCGTCCAGGTAAGCCTGGGCTGGTGGACGGGAAGGGCAGGTCTTGTCGTCTGAGGCCTGGCTAGAGCTGCCTGGCTGTGTCTGAACAGCCTGCTCAGCACCGGCAGTCGGCAGCGAGTCACAGGGAGGAGGGGACAGTGGGCAAGAATGGCCCTACTTACCATGCCACCTATCCTTGCCCTCCCTCACTGTGTCCCGGCCCCCAGCCACAGGGTCCCTGAGATGAGGAGCAGGAAGGGCAGACAAGCAGGGGTAGCAGAGCAGAGCAGGCAGGGAGGAGAGAAGCAGCTCACCCTTAGCCAGCATGGGGGCCAGAAGCAGGTGGGCAGGGAGGGCACAGACTTAAGCAGGCCCCCAGGCTGGCCTTTCCTGAAAGTTCTCTGGCCACCCCAGCTCTCAGCAACCTCCCTGCTGGGGTTACTTTCCTCTTGCTCTGCCAGACAGCGAGGCGCCCCCTGTCATCATGGGTGAGCTCTGGAGGCTTTAAATGTGGTCTCTCAACTGCATAGCCTTTGGCTGCATCAGGGGTTAAAGGAACTTCCAGAACTTTCAGAACATGACCAAAATTTGGAGCCACCTGTGGTAGGAAATCTCTCTCTTTTTAAAACATACGGGAGGTTTCCTTTTCCTACAGGTTCTGGGAGTTTCAGGAAGTGATCCAAAGGCACCCAGGGTGGGGAGGACCGGAACCCAGGTTTCATCACGCAGCTCTGCCCTGCATCTGCAGAGAAACCTAAAATAGCTCCAGTGAGCCTCCTATATAAATTTCCAATTTTAAGTTCTCACTTGAAAATAATTTCAATAAAAGATATTTTAGAAGATTTGAAGAAAAATTCGTAATCTGAGAAAAATACACTTTTGCAATAAGTGCACATTTTTTAAATGAGAGCATAGTTTTTCCTTTGCGTTTTAGAAATGACTGATTTACTATCTTACTGCACAGCAGGAATGTCTGGCCCAGTGTGTGGTCTTTGAAACGTATCAGAAAGCCAGGCTTCTGGGGGCCGTGCACAGGAAAACGCAGCCTTGGTGGGAATCGCTGTCATTGAGCAGCGGCCTCTTGTTCTGTTAAAGTTGATCTTGCCCAGTCAGCAGTCGGCAGTCACCCCAGAGAATGTTCTGGCAAGCCTTTGTCACCCGCGGGGTGTCAGGGAGGCGATACAGAGGACGCCCGTGACGTGTCTCATGCTCCCCCCGCAGCGGCTTCACAATCGAGCTGGCCTCAGCCTTCACGGTGGTGATCGCCTCCAACATTGGGCTTCCAGTCAGCACTACGCACTGCAAGGTAGGCCCCTGCTAGCCGGGAGCCCTTCTCCAGGCCACTGGGATGGGTCAGGGCCACCGGAACACATGCGAGGGAAGCTGTAGGGCTCTGTAGATGGTTGTGCAAAACGCATCTCCAGGTTCTCTGGGTCTCTGGGACCTTGTTTTCCTCCATCTGCCCCCTCCACCATCCTCTCGGTAGGACAACACCATCCCTTGTTCAGACCTGGCTTTTCCCAGGCAGAATGAATGCTAGGGCTGGTCTGCCTGGGACTGTCCTGCTGCCCTCCCACTGCTTCCATGGTGAAGTTTGATTGGCATCCTGTGTGCACTGAGCATACCTATGGGCTCACTTGGGAGCCTGCCACTTGGTCCAGCCATTGAGGGGACTGGGGGTTGACAGTGGAAATAGCAATTAACAAAAATCATCTCTGTGGAATTGTAGGGCATGGTTGTTTCTGGTTTTGTTCCTTTTTCTTTTCTTTTTTCTTTTTTTTTTTTGTGACGGAGTCTGGCTCTGTCGCCCAGGCTGGAGTGCACTGGCCGGATCTCAGCTCACTGCAAGCTCCGCCTCCCGGGTTCACGCCATTCTCCTGCCTCAGCCTCCCGAGTAGCTGGGACTACAGGCGCCCGCCACCTCGCCCGGCTAGTTTTTTGTATTTTTTAGTAGAGACGGGGTTTCACCGTGTTAGCCAGGATGGTCTCGATCTCCTGACTTTGTAATCCGCCCGTCTCGGCCTCCCAAAGTGCTGGGATTACAGGCTTGAGCCACCGCGCCCGGCCTGGTTTTGTTCCTTATATGATGTTCAAAGTGACTGTATTGCCATAAATTCCCCATGAGGGGTAATGACTGATACCGACCACTGAGGAGTGCTCTGAAACCTACAGCTGGACAAGAGAGGGCTCCTGGTCGTGGTGTGGAAAGTTGGAGCTGCAGGGAGGAGCCCTGAAGACCAGTGAAGAGGAAATGGGCTCTGGGAGTTTCAGGGAGTGATCCATAGGTGGCCAGGGTGGGGAGGACCAGAACCTGGGTTGGGAGGACCAGAGCCCGAGTCTCATCACCCCACTCTGCCCAGTATCTGCAGATACTTCTAAAATAGCTCCGGTGAGCCTCTGTATACAGACACACTCACCAGTCTCAACAAAGCGAAAGTCACTTCCGGATTTTTCCTAGGTTCATTCATTTGTATCATTCAAGAAAAACTAATTGGCGTTTGCTGCATGGGGGCAGAGTTCTCGGCACCAGAAGGAATATATGAGCCCTCATAACAGACACAGCCACCCATGTTTATGTTTACTCACAATTTTAAGATTCCAGCCAATATGTTTAAAAGAAAACTCCAAGCAAAGGCAAGTGGCTTCATGCTTCAAACACCCAGGTCAGGTGGCCCTCACAAGAGTATCTGGAGTGGCCCGGCAGCATGTTTCCAAGCTGGGGCTCTGCGCATGCGGAATCAGCCTCAGTGGAAAGAGTTTGTTTTGTGTTTTCCTTCTTTGCTACCATATACAGAAATATTTCAATTTCCACAAAGTTTCTGTATAGAAATCCCCCTACTCACTGATTATCAGGAGAGTGCTGGTACTGTGCTCCACACCACACACGTGGTGCGCCGCCCCCTCTCCACAGCAAGCCTGTGGGGGCGGAACTGTCACTCCCAGTCCACAGGTGAGGAGACTGGGTTCCCTCAGAGCTGGGCCGCTTGCTGTGTGCACACAGCCACATGTGGTAGATCCAGGATTCAGATCTTCGCCTCAGGCCACACACCTTCTCATTCAGGTCCCCATCAGCACCATTGTGGTGCCCAACCATGGCCACGGTGCCTGGGGCAAGCACTCCACTGGTGCCATGAACATGAGCTCCCTCAGTCTCCCCAAGAACCTTCCCCAGCTTCACAGATGAGGAAACTGAGGCAGAGGAAAGTTAAGTAACGTGCCCGAGATTACACAGCCAGGGAGCAGCCCAGCTGAGGCACCCACGTGGACAGCATAGCCAGCGTCGTCCTCCCCCGCTCCGCCTGGCAAGCATGGGGGAGGAAGGCAGGAAGAGGTGCGGGTGCGCCCGCCGCCCATTCATTGTGATTTCCTAATGTGGGTTATTTAAAACTTACCAGAGAAGCACATATTCACTGAAATATTTCAAACAATACAACACTATAAGGAATGAAAAGTAACATCTTCCCCGGACTCCACGTTACTTCCATTCACTGTGGTGTGTGGAGCGTGGAAGAGACGCATGTAGCTAAATATATTCTTTTTCCAAGGACACGGGCTTGTGACTTTTCTATAGGCATCAGTTGTCTTTTGGAATGCTTTTAAACACATGTAATGCCATCTTTCTAATGATTAACCTACACTTAAGCAAGACTGCTGAAGGCTAACTCTTCCACACCAGTTGAAATAGCTTTTTTTTTTTTTTTTGAGATGGAGTCTCACTCTGTCACCCAGGCTGGAGTGCAGTGGCAAGATCTTGGCTGACTGCAAGCTCTGCCTCCTGGGTTCACGCCATTCTCCTGCCTCAGCCTCCCGAGTAGCTGGGACTCCAGGCGCCTGCCACCACGCCCGGCTAATTTTTTATATTTTTAGTAGAGATGGGTTTTCACCGTATTAGCCAGGATGGTCTCGATCTCCTGACCTCGTGATCCACCCGCCTTGGCCTCCCAAAGTGCTGGGATTATAGACATGAGCCACCATGCCCGGCCAGTTTTGTTTCCTTTGAGCTGGTGATGAGTAGTATTAGGATAGCTTGTTGGCACTTAAAGCAGGTCTCCCTGAATGGGACTGCAGTGGGGTGCCATCTGTAAAATAGACAAGACAGGTCACAACTTGGGTTTGAGTCAAGTTTGTCCGATATCATTGATCATGGACTTCTGGACAAGGCCCAGAGCTATTCCCTGTGAGCACTAAGGACACAGCCTCAGCTCTCAGGAACTTGCAGTGTAGTTGGAGAGCAGATGGCTCTCATCAGAGTCCAAATAATAGAAGTGCTGAGAAGAGTTCACAGTTGTCATTACTCCACAACACTTATTCTCTCATATCACATATTTCCCCTGCACACAACAGTCCCCAAATGGCAAATGTGGGATGAACTATGAGAGCCGTGGGATGGCGTGAAGAATGGGGCCCTCTGTGAGTGAGGCTGTGAATCTGGAAACATTCAAAGGGTATTGATGTCCACATAGAGTCATAGTTGAATTGCATCAGTTTTCAGGATAATTATCCTGTGTTTGATTTTTAAGTTTCTTGCTTAGAGCCATCTAATAGAAGGTAGGGAAAAGTTGGGGACTTGGCAGGAAATAAGATGGAAACTATTGTTTAAAATGAGTTTTTGAATGTATCTAGGTACATGTTATTGATTTATGCTTCCTTCTAAGTATACATGGCTAAGTGCATAGATTTGTTTTATTTTGTTTTGTTTTGTTTGAGACAGAGTCTCACTTTGACGCCCAGGCTGGAGTGCAGAGGCTTGATCTTGGCTCACTGCAACCTCTGCCTCCTGGGTTCAAGCAGTTCTCCTGCCTCAGCCTCCTGAGTAGCTGAGATTACAGGCATGCACCACCACACTTGGCTAATTTTTGTATTTTTAGTAGAAATGGGGTTTCTCCATGTTAGCCAGGCTGGTCTTGAACTCCTGACCTCAAGTGGTCCGCCTGCCTCGGCCTCCCAAAGTGCTGGAATTACAGGCATGAGCCACTGCACCTGGCCTAAGTGCATAGTTTAAATTTTGTTGTAGCCTATTTCAAAACATTTATGAAACCATACTATATTATGTGATATATGTGCTGAATGTATAACTTGGGAAAAAACAATTAGAAAAGTCCCGTTATCACATTTTATTCCAGAAGGCATATATAAGACAGTCTGTTTGATGAATTTCACCCTGTATGTGTTCCGGTTTCATACATTTTGTATTTCATATCAGAGGACTCAGTTTATCAGATACTTTCCTGGAATAATTCCTTTGAGTAGGGTCAAAAGCCTTAATTGGCCAGGCACAGTGGCCCATGCCTGTAATCCCAGCTACTCGGGAGGCTGAGGCCGGAGAATCGCTTGAACCTGGGAGGCGGAGGTTGTGGTGAGTGGAGATCGCACCATTGCACTCCAGCCTGGGCAACAAGAGCAAAACTACCCCTGGCCCCCCCCCCCCAAAAAAAAAAAAACAGAAGCCTTAATTGAAGACATAGAAACTGGTCTTGATAAAAGAATCCTCAGACGTTATGTTTCAGCAACTCGTTCATCATTCTTCCGTTCTGTGATCCTTAATCACCTTTGGTCTTTAGCCCTAGCAGATAACACACAGTGCCGCTACTCAGCACAGTCGCTCTTGTGTGTGCTCTTTAATAGGAATTTGGAAGTCATGTTCTGCAGAATGTTTTAATTCCATACTGGGTGGATTGAGATTATTCCTGTTTGTGGATCACCCACATTGTCAATCTTCACTGATGACATAGATGATGATTCAACCACCATTTCAATTTGGAACAGCATATAGGGAACACTACTTATTTCAGATGTAGGATTATAATTTCTAATTTAATTTATAATTCTTGCTCTCTGGTCCCCATTCTTCTCAACAATTTTTTTGCTATAACTACCTGATGATGGCCTTAAACTGGAAACACACTCGATTTATTAAAAGGGAAGTTAGAACACAGCAAAAAATACCATTTTACATCCACAGAAGACATGATCAGTAACAAAGACATAGTACTCTGGATCTTTTATGAATGAAATAACATATAACTAAATACATAAAATTGTTAAGAACTCAGAAATTACTGTCTTAGCCTATGATAAATGAAGTATAGAAAAAGTATGTGGGAATATGAAGAATTTGAACATTTATTTAGAGCAGCATAGTTAATAAATACGTACAAGCTTTTACCCTGCTGATCATATGCCTTCCTGTCAAGCATCATGAAACATTTATAAAAATCCTAAAATCAGAAAACCATGATAAAAATCTCTATAAAATTTTAAAAACAGGCCTGGCATCGTGGCTCACACCTGTAATCCCAGCACTTT